ACCTAGATCGTGCACTATCATGGCAGTGGTTCTGGTGGAAAGAGACGTATTTGCCCGGAGGAACCATAGACATTATTTAATACTTAGATCGTGTACTATCATGGTAGTGGTGCTGGTGGGAAGGGACGTATTTGCCCGGAGGAACCATAGACATTATTTAATACTTAGATCGTGTACTATCATGGTAGTGGTGCTGGTGGGAAGGGACGTATTTGCCTTAAGTCCAAGGTAGGGAGAGACCATAGATATATGTGAGGCAGTGTGGTGAAATCAGGCGCTCGTCAAAATAATCAAAGTGAAGAAACTGACATTTTCCCGTTGGTTTGTGAATCTTCACAGAGAGACCATAGATATATGTACACCTAGATCACACACTGTCTGTCGTGGTAGTGGTGCTGGTGGAAAGGGACGTATTTGCCCTGACAAAGTCTAAGGTAGGGAGAGGCCATAGACATATTATTGAGGCAGTGTGGTGAAATCAGGCGCTTGTCAAAAATAATCAAAGTGAAGAAACTGGCATTTTACCGCAGGTTTGTGCATTTTCACAGAGAGACCATAGATATATGTACACCTAGATCGCGCACTGTCATGGTAGTGGTGGTGCTGGTGGTGGTAGAAGAAGGCGAGGGAGGAAGGGGGTGAAGAAGGATGTGGAAAACGAGGAAGAGGAGGAGGTATAGGAGGCGGAGGAGGAGGATTTAATAAACCAAATTTTAAATATTTTTTTCTTGTACGTTTTGTCTGTAAATCGATCAAGACTTCCCCTACCTACTCTGCTTTCTAGATAATGATGATGATGATGATGATAATGATGATAATGATGGTGATGATGATGATGATGATCATGATTATGATAATGATGATGATCACGGATGCTTGTAGTATATTATTTGAAAACGTGATAGATGCGATAGATACGGTTTGTTCACATACCCTTCCCTTATGACGTTCGGTCTCTCCCTTAACCCCACCCCCCCCTACCCACCCCACTCCCCACACACACACATCCCCCACACCCCCTCCCACACACACACACACACCCCCACACACACACACATCCCCCCCACACCCCCACCCCACACACACACACAGGACAGCGGAGCCCCGGCCAACAACAGAACGTCCCTCTCCTACTCCCGCTCGGTTCCCGCGCATACCAGGGACCTGGGCCGTGACGTCACACCCAGCCCGGAGCAGCTGAGAGAGGCACTGTTGTACAGGCGTCGTTCTTACTACAGAGACAAACCGAGGAGAGAGGT